AGGCGCTTAAATGAATATTGTTCAAACATGACGCAACCTCTGACGGAAGCACCAAACTCTTGCAAACTTTCGAAATAGATGAACACTTCAATCTAGTAGACCACTATTATAATCTTCATGCAGTCATTGTTCACTGTGGTTCTGGCGTTGAATCTGGTCATTATTACGCCTTGGCCAAAGACGAAAATTTCTGAAAGCTTTTTTCTTACAAATTTGTATAAAAAACAAACTATAGTTGCACTTTCAGAACATTCACAAAAAATACAGTGACTCCATAAAAACCGCAGGAAAACGAATGCATGTGATTTCATTTTATCCATTTTTTGGACACCCTGTACATCTCATTTATATATCGCTACTGCAGGAGAAAATTAGGTAACACTCTTTATGGTGGTAAAATCTTGTACTCACATGGAAACGACAACAATGCAAAGTACGTTGAACCGCGAGGCAGACAGATAATCGATTGTTTGTTGATTTTTCTCATCATTCTATGTAGGCGCCTGTGAGACATGGATGTGGCAGGATATTATTGAAATATGTCGGATTTTTTGTTCATTATTCTGTTATTGTTATTCGATATGGAAATCCTCGAGACAAAAATGTTTCGGTTAAATGGGACGTCGCTACGCTGGTAGATAGAATTGTCTTTTCTGTAGACATTGTTGAAAGACACTTCGATGAAGGAAGTTTGTATCAGTGTTTGGAAGTACAGTGAAAATACTGCTCAATGTGATTTTTCTTAAACTTTTTCGTCTACAATTTAAACAATTGTTTTATTCTATGTGTTAGAAGTGCTTGAAATATTGGTTAAGTAAGTTAACTTATACAGCACAATCACTAGATGATTCAAAGCATTGGCAGAAACGTCTAACTATTTGCAGCTTTTTACCCACTACTTGACGTTGATCTGAACATTATTTTTGTCAACTTGAGAAGAAAAACGTTCTGAAAAATAAGAAAATCATTTTTGAAGAGAAGAGGACTGAAACTTTCTATGTTTTTTACCACTTTTATTTGTAACTAACGTTACTGCAGTTTCGTCCTATAAGGACATATACATTTAATGTATAAGTTTCGTCCTATAAGGACATTTTCAAGTTAAGCTTGAAAATGTTCTTATTGGACAAAATTGCAGTAACGTTAGTTATTAGTTACGAATAAAAGTGGTAAAAAACATGGAAAGTTTCAATTTTCTCCATAATGATTTTCTACCACGTAATCGTCCTATAAGGACATATACATTTAATGTATAAGTTTCGTCCTATAAGGACATTTTCAAGTTAAGTTTGAAAATGTTCTTATTGGACAAAATTACAGTAACGTTACTTAGTTATTAGTTACGAATAAAAGAGGTAAAAAACATGGAAAGTTTCAATTCTCTTTTCTTCATAATGATTTTCTACCACGTAGTAACGGCTACATCCATCAATTTATTGAAATCATTTTTGTTTGATGAATTGCATCAATTTGAAAAGAAAAAAAGTCGGGCGCCTGGTCACCACAGAAATTATTCTTATATAGTACAATTCCGTAATAGTAGGCAGCACTAAATTATCAAAAATATTATTGCATTAAAATGAAAACATTGTTGTCAAGGTTGTGATTCTATATATTTTTTCATAATTTTTCCCCATCTGTTTAGTATAATTTCCGTACGTCACTGCAAAAGACAGAATAATACAAAAGCGTAACTCGTTTCTGAGAATTTAGTACCTACACATAGTGTGTAGGTACACTATTTTGAGATTATAGTATAGTAAAACTTAACACTTTAGTTATCAATATATAAATACATGAAACCAATAAATTCTGTAATTACAAAAACAGAATACTTATGTTGAAACTGTTCTTCACTATCACTACATAGTATAAAACAATGTCGCTTCTCGATGTCCTTGTGTATGCTTGCTTAGATCATAGTAAAAGTAACCAGTTAGTCCAGTCCCACTACTTTCATTCATAAATTCACAAACTTCTCGGTGATCTCAAAACGAAGTGTGGAGCCAATTTATTTCTTTCACCATAGGCGTGCGCTCATATAAAAACGAAATTTGAGGTTATTATAGAATATTTTGTGGTAACAAACTACGAAAACTAAAAACAACAATAACAACAGCGAATAAACACAATATCAATTTCCGACCGTTATTATAACTAATCCGATGTCCCTGGTACCGTCAAATCCTTCGATACTACAGCACTGAACGCGTTGGATGAGAATCTCATCCTAAGAGCGATTGAAGGTCCCCGGAAACTCGGACGGATCACGTGGTAAGAGAGCCTTCTGGTTGTGTTATTCTACTGTGCTTAGATCTTCAAAACTATGCCATGGATTTTAATGCGGGTTTTTTCAATAGATAGAGTGATTAGAGAGGAAGGTTTTGATGTATATAACATGCATAATATAGTAGAGAAACTGATAACTTTAAAGGTTTCTAATGTGATGTCGTAAATAAACACATTTTTTGCGCTTACATTGCAGAGCTGGCTGAACCCTACGAGATAGATCAAGAACTATACTACAGTATTGTACACCTTAAAAAGGTCTACAAAAAGTCCGCGATGGTATATGTCTATCTCTTAAGGATAGCCCACAATAACTATTTTTTATCCTCGAGAAATAATGGCTCATTTACGAAGCGATTTCAAGCAATATAGTATTCATCCTTACCCAATTAAGTACTTTAAATACATTGTGCATTTAATATAGATCAACATGGCCCTTCACAGCATCAATGTGAATGGATATTTTCGAAGTTATTACAGATTTGAAATGCAGGGACATACAGGTCGCGGCGGTACCGGCCGGGTGGCAGGCTGCCCATACCTATAAATAGCGCGTCGAAGGCCTTGCTTCGCCCTACAGCACTTTATGATTAGCAGCGATCGCACACGTTTATATGCATTGCACCAATGCGGAGCCGGGGCGGCTTGCTAATATTCTGTAAGCACTTTTCATTGAAATGGTCAAGCTATATTCCAATCCAATTCTTTTGATTGAAAAATATTCGGCTATTCTGATTATGTAGTAGTGATGACAACTCCCCCTGCGATGGTATAGTCGAAGTAACCGATATAGTAATTCTTAAAGCTATCGGCAAAGTCAAAGGCCAAAAAAACCGATACAAAGAAATAATGCCGCTACGAATTAGTCCACGTGGAATGAAGAATTGGCGGTTCGAATTGGATAATTTTTACTAACCGAGTTTTATGATTGGCTGAAGAGTCATAAAATTAAATTTGAAGTCATGTTACGGTGACCAATAGAATGTGAGAATGGTTAGTAGAGTCGTGTTGTCAATGTTCAGTTCAGGAACTGATCGCGATTTGAGTGTTGAAATTCGATATTGGTGAAGTTATAATTACTTGTTATTTGTTTAAAATGTGGCGTCCTTGGATAAGTACTAATAGTAATAACGAGTGTGATAACAACGCAGTCTTTTTCCAATGGCGCTGGTGAACAATGCCAAAATAGCTGAAAAATTTCACGGAAGAACCAATTTCAGTCCGGTGCTAGTTTTGATCTACATTGATGAAAATATGAAAATCATTTGCTGCTGACTCACGTATGTTTGTAAAAGGTACATTATTGACGAACACAAAATTTAGTTAGCACCTCCAAGGAATCGTTTTATTGAAAAAAAATCCGATTATATGTTTCTTCTACGAAAAACTCAAATTAGACTGACAACCGGTGCTAAATATTTAGACTAAACAATTGAGTGTTGCGTTGAAAAGAAATTTCAATCGAATACTTGATCATATATTTTCTCATGTACGAAAAACGAATACGAATTCCAGTATACTATATCATTGGAAGGTATTGAGAAAACAAATTCAATTCAGAGTCAATATTTTTAAGATCAGAATTGGCCATTTATATAATTTTATATGCAAAATGGGTATTGCAATCAACTACGAAACAAGTTAAATAGAATCATTCATAGATTTTTTAGGTTCAAATAACCATTTAGGAGTTCTCCGATTATTAGGGGAACCCAATCAATAAAAACAGATTTTGACAATATTTTGACAATTTTTAATATCTTATTACACTCATTCCAACTTTTGGAAAACATGAATATAGTAAATCTTGTTTTGCAAAAACCACTGAAATCTTTCTGTGAATGAAATATCTTAGTTGGCATAGTTTTACTTATTTTTATCTTGATATAAGTGTATTCCACTTTGCAGTCTATAACGTCACTGAACTAAAACAAATACTTTTTAGATTTTGCTATAAGAATATCTGCATATCAAGAAATTGGAATCTACGTAGGTATTTTTTTGTTATGGGTCGATTTGAAACGATTATAAATTCATCAAGTTGATGGATGTACTACGTGGTAGGAAATCATTATGAAGAAAAGATGATTGAAACTTTCTTTGTTTTTTACCACTTTGATTTGTAACTTACGTTACTGCAGTTTCGTCCCATAAGGACATTTTCAAACCTATACATTAAACTAAATACGTTAAAGAGTTTAATGTATAAGTTTGAAAATGTCCTTATAGGATGCAACTGTAGTAACGTTAGTTACAAATAAAAGTGGTAAAAACATAGAAAGTTCAATTCTCTTTTGTTCATATAAATTCATCAGTGATTAAAAATTAAAATATATAGAAACTGATACACAAGATATTTTCAAGTGAATTCAGTTATCTGAATTTCTTTCATTTATTACAAATATGTTACTTTTGTTTGAGTACTGTTCCCATGGTGTGAAATGTATTGCGAAATACATATTTGCTATACTAATTCTCCAATTACTATCCGTATCACTTTCAACCATTCACGTATGAATAACTCTGGTAAATTTAATATTGTTAAATGTATGACATTGGAGGAATTTTAGCTTATTTATATGAACGGAATTATTAGCCATTGCTTCGCGCAGTGGTCCAAAATTTCAATCAGTATTTGTTCATGTCTCACTCTTCATTCATTTAGGCTTCTGTAACAGGAACCTTATTAACGAGTTTTTGTATTGTTTCAGGGTTTAGACCCCGTCAATTCTACAGCGCACTTGAGGCCGCTCAACTCTGAGATCGCAGCTCCCAGAATAGATAGTTACAGATTTTCGATGGCGAATCTTGAAGATTCTCAAGATGTGGACCTGGACGCGATCCTTGGGGAACTCTGCGCGCTCGAAACAGTGTGCGAAAGGGAAATCGGACAGGTCAAAGAGAACAAACGTCATTCAGGTGAGGTTTCCTTTGAAAGTATCTTGATTACAATTTCAGATGTCACAAAATAATATGTGAAAATATTTTCTGCTGAATATCTAATCTAGCCACTACATGGTCGTATACTACTACTATACTATATTACTAGTAAAATAGTAAATGAGTTTTTTGTCGCAGACATGATGTATAATTTGGCAGGCAAATGAAAGATAAAATCTCTTACTGGTTCATTTCTACAGTAAATAACATTTGGTGGTACTAATATAGATTTTTGATATGTGTAGTGTCTAATAATGAATTGATTTTTCAATATGCAACTTGAAGATTTGAAAAATTTAATGACTACTTTTTTCTTTGACAAAAAGCTTGGTATTTTTTTTGTAAGTATATCACCAGACATCACTGTCTCTAAATCGAACGAATGGATCAAATGTATCAGATTTTTTGATTTATCTGTCCATATCATGTAGAGGTTGAATATTTTTAAATAGTTCATCGATTGATCTGGTTCAAATTGAAAGAGGAGCAATCACTTTTTGCGAAAAAAAAATACGTTGTGCTTTCTTCTCCTTCGTTTTCAAACAAAAACTGAAGGAAACATCTGAAGATAGGAAGAAGACATTTAACTTTGAAATTTTCTTGAAGATGGAGAAGTAGAAAGCCAAAACTTTTTTTCAAAGATGAATTCAATGTTTCTATATAGTTATTAACTACCTCATTATACCACGTTTTTTGTCTCGAAATATTTTGTACCTATGTACTTTTCAAATTTGGTTTTGGATGATTTTTATGTAACCATCACTTAAATCTATAGTACAATTCGATAATAGTAGGCACTAAGTGTCAGTCATTTTTTAGAATTTAGTGCCTATTATTTTGGAATCATAGTATTGTTGAATTGATGGTTAATCGAAGTAAATTCTATAATAAATAATCGTGAGTAATTTTTTCAACCTATCAAAAGTGAACTTCAGAAATATTTGTGTTTCAGTAAAAAACTACTTGTATACTCATAGTTCGATTCTGGGTTCAATTTTCCTTTGTTAGTTGAGTTGGCAGTACCAGAAAAAGCAAATTGACCGGTAAATATTTATTTTGTAGATGAATTCATGACAATTTTATCAAAAAATATTCGATTTGAGAGGGTTAAATAGTACAGATTTGACCAGTAAAGTAGAAAAACAGTTTTTTCGAATGAAAGTTTTCACAAAAATCCAAAAACACGTCAACGTTTTCTTCTTAACGCATCACTTCCTCTTCAGTGTATGCAGGATCATTCTCTATGATAATTAGTTAGTAAGATCTTTGTCAGTAGCATTTTGAAGTGAATCCACCAGGCCACCATTTCAATTTTGAAGGTTTTGTGCGTGTATCCCGTGATTGATTTATTTTATTAAAGTTCATTTAATTTTATTTATTATGTAATCTACAGAACAAGCAGTTCCAATAATCGATTACAATATCAAAAACTAATTAAATAACCATTCTCAATATAATGCAAAGACTAAAATTAAAATTACTCCAAATTACCTGAATTAAAATCAAATTCAAAGACACATTCAGTTGAAAATGACAAATGGACCTTTTTCATTTAAATTGACTCTCAGTTACAATTACAATATTTTTTTTACATTTTACATTTGACAAAGAAATCTATATTCCTCAAACAATTTGCCAGAGAACATGTATAGTGAGATGTGAATTTACATTCATTCAAGATTAAAAATATAGTAACCATGTTTTTTGTAATCTTAAGAATTTTTTCTGTACCTTTTCAACTTCATTTTTACGAACGGAATAATAAGGAGAGCATACTATTGCACCATATTCCAGTATACTACGAACAAATGCATTACAAAGTGTTAGTAATGTGGATATTTTTGTGAATTTGAATGATTTCCTAATAATGAAGCCAAAGTATTCTATATGATCTGTTTATAATGTTGGTCATATGTTGTTCAAAAGTGAGTTTTTCAACCAGCGTAACTCCCAAATCTCTACATTATGTCTTCTTGGCTAAATATTCATTGTTAAGCTTGCACTGGAAATCATTCCGTAGTTTTTTCCTAGTAATTGACATACTTAAACATTTGTCAACATCAAATGTGAGACGATTTGACAGTGACCACTCGTAAACCGTATCTACGTCATTTTATAACAAAATCAAATCTTCTTGGCTTTTGATTTCCTTGAATAATTTAAAATCATCTGCGAATAGTGCACATTGCGAGTCCTGAACTATCTCTGGTAGATCATGTATTAGTAATAAAAAGAAGAGGGGTCCTAGATTGGACCCTTGGGGTACACCAGATCTTGTGAAGAAATTCTCTGATTCCTATTCCGTATAAAGTACATACTGTTTCCTGTCTATAAGATACGAAGCTGACAGCTTCAAGAGTTGATCTGAGAGCCCAAAAGTGTATAGTTTTTTCAACATAACCTCATGATCATCCCTGTCGAAGGCTTTACTAAAATCTGTAAAAATAATGACTATTTGACTATTATTTTCGACAACTTGATTTGCCTCTTGTATAAAACATGTTAGGTTAGTTATCGTGGATCTTTTAGTTAAGAATCCATGTTGTTTCTCACTTAGACATGGATAAACGTGCTACTGGCCGTAGTTTTGTATTTCAGCCCAATAACGATAATTGTGCCAGGCACTAGAACGACTTACGCCCGTTCAAGTAGCTATTTTGTCATAATTAACATTCTATCCATTGTGATACCTCTGAAGATTAGTTGTTGAGTAACGGATTTTTCATGGATCTCCAACCCAATTCCATTCCCTTTGTAAAAATATTGGTGATGAAACCCCCATTTGGGTTGAAGGTTTTTCAGTGGTTTTTAGATCATAATATGTTACCCGGTTGACGTGTTTTTGGTTTACTTGAAAAAATTATCTGCCTGGAAGTTCTGTCTCCTTGTAATACTGCTGCATTTAACGCACGATTCTAGCCACTTATCTAGTACTTGTCCAAATTATTTTTTCTTCAACAGTATTTTCAACATAAATATAACTTTGTTATCCGTTCGTAGTAATTGAAATGCACGTTCGTTTCCAGATGCTCAAACAATGTCACAATATGAAACCCGAACGCACAATAGATCCTTATCGGAAGCCTCCAGAATGAAGATCGACCCAGAAGATAGCTTATTGAAAACCGAAGCCGGAAGAACCGAATCACCGGACAATGATTCCGCTTTCAGCGATACCGTTTCCATGCTTTCCAGCGAATCGTCTGCCAGCAGTGGGGGAAGTGGGGCCAAGCCTCAAACGTTGAGGCTACAAAACATGCAGCAGGTAAGAAAAAAGTAATTAATCTCACCCACACTCGGGTCGGATTTATCCATTTATTATAACGCTGCACCAAACGGAATTATAAATCACCAATTGTTTTTGTAGTGGCTGTGATAAATCAGTCATACGTGCGACGGGAGCATATTTATTAATTTTCCTCACGGGTATCTCTTAATCATTCCTGACTTCCAGAATGTTTGTACTCTGGCTTCGGTTAATTATTTCGTATGGATTGAAATGTGTATTTTAATACTGAAAGGGTTTATTTAGTTTTTGGTTCTACGGGCAGCATGGCATGAAGTTTTTTGCAGCATGCAGCCAAAAGGTTGCAGAGCTCAAGATGGTTTTTTAAAGATGATATCACATTAATGTCACGTCAGTGGTATAAACTTACAGATTACTTGAATAAATTGCTCATTTTACAGATCGTTTACCTTCTAAATTCCTTTAAATCATCATATGGAGAAACTTGTACTGTCGGAAGATTTGGCATGACATCTATGTTCAGAAGATGATGAAACATCAGATCACATAAGTACTTTCATCACCGCGGTCCGAATCAGGTTTTCAATGTTTGGCAAAATTACACTCTCGCCATCGGACCTGAAACATCACCCACCACACCAAATAATCGGTCTTGTTAAAGAACTCCAGTTATTTGGTGGAGTTTGTATTTTTGGGAGCCACAATTGATTCATGCGAATTGGAACTAGATAATGCCAAAATATAAATTTCAAGGCCCTCAAAATATTTAAGTAACCAAAATCGTAACGATCTTCGAACCTTAAACTTTTAGCTGCAGTTTCCGTAAGAAGACAGTAGGTAGATGAGGCTTTATTGATCGATAGTGGCGGGGTGGTATAAATTTAAGCTGATCTTGCTACTGTGCTGGCTGTAGACCTCTCTTAGAGGTATCTCCACTGCATCCAAATCATTTGTTGGGGAACTGACGTCTTCAGATGGTTGAGTGACCAGACCTTTGATACCGTGAGGAGTCGTTTATCCACCAAGTATAATATTGAAACTCTGAGTACTATGAAGTACTCGGCATCATTTTCAATGTCTACCTGGTATATGTTCCAAAGAGAGAATTCAATTTTATATTTCTCCAAATGGATAAAGCTTACTTCGAAGCTTACATAATGATAGGTTTGAACAGCGTACTTGAACCACTCCATATGTGGAGTAAAGGTGAAGTCCATGATCCATCGTGAAACCCAGTGTCGACCTTCCACTCCCGAGTTCGAGTTCGATCACTACATTATGTTTCTATCTGTATCTGTAGAGTGGTACATCCTTCCGAGGAGTTGTCCTTCTAGATCATCGTCCAACCTGTCCTTTCCAGGAAGGTGAACAGGTCACTAGGAGACATCCCCTTTGTATTGGCAGGTGTGGTTAAGACTCTCCGAATACACGCTCTCTTTGGCAACCTTGAGGTGTCTCACGGTGGCTTCCGCGAAGGTTTTGAAAGGCGCAGCGATGTTACTCTCGTTGCGCGACTTCTTCAACCTTCTTGGGGTTTCCTCCGTGGAGGTGCATAAGTGAGGGAGATTTCCTGCAGGGGCAGCCGGTTCCTTGACTTTATTCAATGCGGAGCTCTTGGCCCCCGCCAACAGCAAAGGTACAAGAAGTACCTTTGCTGTTGGAGGTGTAGTGCCTCCTTAGCTCTCTTTCTCCTTTTGGCCTCGGCGCCGCAACTACATTATGTTTATTTAGAATTCTGATAAATTACCTGTGAACAGATTGTACGACCACCGACCACAGATCAGATCTCTGAGTGTTATTGGTAACGATGTCTCTGGAATCCGAAAGTGTATCTTGAACACTTACACTTGAACGGATCCAGAGATAGGTGAAAATGGGATAGTTTGTGCAGAAGGCAAGATCAAAAATGCTCAAAATTTTCACATGGAAAAGATGTTTTTTCAGTTCGCAATAGTCTTTGACGACTTCAGAGATTTCTATGAAACATTTATGGTAGTTGAGGGAAAATATTGCAATAAAATATCTGCATTTATAGCATTTATTTCGACCTTCATTTATATTGAGAACTTTTCATTAGGTTTCCAGAAACTTCTCTGTACTGAGATGAACAATTCTGATTTTTTGGAAAAGGAAGAAGTTCCTATCAGAAATGAAAACTTCAATGATCATACTGCTGGTACATACCAATTGGTTTAATCCTTGGACTAACAAGCGAGCTATGTAAGAATAAAAATTAACATGAAATAGAAGATGAATTTGGACTAGAGGCTAAAGTGAACATATCCAGGTATCCGTTGTTCTGACTTCTCAAATAAAATTCTATATCGAAATCCAGACTTTCGCAAGTGGATATCTGTCACTAACGTGCCTTGAACAGAACATCGAAGTTGCAACTAGATCTGGGCTATAAATCTCTTTGATGTCTTTATACAGCGCAATGTACTATGGCCGACATGTAATCAGTACCGTTGACGATTGATTCTTCACTGGATGTCTGTTTACAGGACATGGCTTCTGACAAGACGCCAGAACGACTGCAAATAAATATTTGTGTGAAGCTTTGAAATTTTGAACCTTCTTTCATTTAATTCATGGGAATATTAAAAGAACTATAAATAACAAAGTTATGGTTGGGCCACGTGTTGTCATTGTGAAATAAATCCAGATTCACATGTTACTTTTGTTTATTCGTACAAAAGAGTATATATTTTACACGAAATTCATTTTTTTGAGGAAGGCACGGTTTTTCTGTCGACTTTTTTTGGGTTTGTTTACCTTCCACAATCTAAAAAGTGTAAAAAAATTGTCATGAAATGAATACAGGTGTAGAATGGGCAAACTTTTCAGTTGACACCGATAAATTTAAACTCAAAAGTATTTTTCTCAAAGAAAATGTTCTATCCATTTATCGTATTCAATTATTTTTCCTTAAATAAAGAGTAAAGAGCTTATACAGATACAGATCCTCATGTTTCGGAAGCTAAAATCTACCTCCGTATTCAGAATTGGAAAAATTCTAATGAATCTTACAGTTTTTTCTTCGGTTCGTTTTATTTTCTAAACGTCCTCGATTGATATCAAAGGAGTTTTTTTAAAACTCCTGTATTTCGAAAAAAAACTTCTTTGATCGATGTCCCCGATAGATGTCAGTGATAAAATCATGATTAAAAAACGATTTCTGATCTTGTTAGTAAAGAAATATTTTAGGGTCATACGGAATATTATTGAATAATTTTAATACTGACATATAAAAATTTATTCTACAAGGGAGTAAAGAACAAATTTTAAAAAACGCGTGAAACAAGATGGAACAATGCAAATTTGATATGTTGTATAGTGACAATCTACACATCTGAAGTAATATAGAAGCCTCAAAACTTCAAACCAGTGTTGCCAATGATNAAAATTAAAACCCAACATTTGAAACATCAATTTGAATACTTTTCGAAGTGAATTTGAAAAACTCATGAATTAAACTCAACTTTATTTTGTTCAAACTTGCATTTGCTGGAATAACCCAAATTGAGAACATTCCCCATTGACAATTCCTACCTACTAGAGGGATGATGGAATTTTCATTTTATAGACCTTCCGCACTCGCAACATATTATTTTATGCCCATTTGTAATAAGGAAGCAGGTGATGTATCAACCATTCTAGTGGTTTATTTAAATTTTGTACTTTTCTCGCCTAATATAAAACTTAATTAAATACGAGTTTTAAAGTTTCTTGGAACAAGAAATTAGTTATTACCCCGTATAGTCTACTCTAATGACCTAAGTACCTAGAACTTGGGGCATACTCATATTTATTCAGTTGTGGTTCACAGCCTTGTCTGGAGACAATAAATTTGTTCCTATCGACCAGACTGTATTTACGAATCAGCACGTTTCTTATCTGGTCGTCAAAATAGTGATAATTTCATACTTGATTTTGTGTTTGTTGACAGTGGACTTGTTGAACTTTTGATTCGGTAAATAAAACAAAAGTTCACCGTTTTTATGGTGGATAAACTTTAGACTTTAGAATTTCGATCCGCCTAAACAAAATGCAGGTATTCAATTGAGATAAGTACCTCTATTATTACCTACAGTGGTGTTATCTCACGATAAACTGTTTCTTGAATACAAAAAAGTAAATTATTTGTTTTTCAAATATCACTTTCAAAGAAACAAAACTATGTAGAGGACATTGTGGAACATCAAAATAAGCTCTAACCTCAAAAAATAATTGAAAGAAAAAAGTACTTGAGTTAGGGACAATAATACAGAAATATGAAAACAAATTATCAAAAGAAAAAGGGTTTTCAAACCATGAAAAATAAAGAAATGAATTCGGTGGTAGAATGAACAAAAACTTTAGAGAACAATAGTAAAAACAACTAATAATGAAGAAGAAGACGACCAAACAGTGGAAAGTAAAAGATGATCCTTTGAAGAAGTACATCACGCAGAAAAAGAGATAGAAACAGAAAAGAATATCGTGCTCTAACGGATATAATAAACCAAATCTTCCAAATGGAAGACGTTGCATATTCGCCTGATGGTTTTCCTTCAGCTTTCTGCGCGGCATTAGCTGGGTTAAAGGTTAACGAGGTGTTACCTTTTAAAGTGCTTCTCCTAGTACCTGAGCTGTAGACGAAACGTCAGGTATTAAATTTGCGGACTACAGACGAAAATTCGAAAAAATAGCTCTGCCACACTGATGATAGTGACATGAAATTCTAATGAATATCAAAGACATGGCAGGAAGACAGAAAATTGAAAGAAACATTCAGGAATCGTTTATGAATTATCTATAAACAATAAAATAGCAGAAGAAACTAAAAGGGATGTGTATGTCGAATACCAGATGAAGCTCCCGGAGACAGAGATATTGGAAACCATGGAAGAGGGAATGAAGGATGAATCTCGGAAAATAAAATTGAAAAGGTATCATGAACAATTTTTAGAGTCAAACGAGGGAAACCTTTTGGATGTAACTATGCCAAAGCTAATTTCCGGATTCGTTAGCCCTGGTCCGAAAATTTTTATGTCTGACATTTCTAGAGTTTCTGGATTACTTACTTCGATTTTTTAGTAATAATCAGATGTTTGTTATCTTCGATTTCGGATACAAATTGTACCATTCCAAAAACCTCTATAACTCAATCATAAAAGGAAATAAAGCGTTTAGGAACAGTCAATTGAAAAGATTTTTCTTATAACGAATGAAGAAACATCCAAACGATTCATTATTTTTTCAAATGCAAAATACTCAGATCAATTTCAATTTTCAGAGTTGACTTACCAGAATTATGAAACTATTGAATTCTAATCGTATTTTTATTACCCTAAACAAAAAATCAAAGTACGGTTATGCGGATATAATCTTTGTTTTCTTTGAAAAATGATTTCATTATTTATAATACCTACCTGTGAGGCAACATAACTACATACGGATAATTTCACTAACAATATTAAATGCACCTTTATTTTGCAAGGCTTAATATTTCATATCCTTTCTTAATCAGTACGTTTTCGTTCTTGCACGCAGGATGATGCATCGAGGCTCAAGGCGGAAAAAATCAGAATGGCCATGGAGAAGATCAAAGAAGCCAACATACAGAAACTGTTTTTGAAAGTTTTTACTACTGACGGTTCGGCGAAATCGCTTTTGGTGGACGAAAAAATGATTTGTTCGTACGTGACTAGGCTTTTGGCGGACAAAAATCACGTGCCGATGGAACCGAAGTGGGCTCTTGTGGAACATTTGCCTGACTTGTACATGGGTGAGTGATTATTTTTGTATGTTTTCTGTATATTCAAAGTTTGTTTATTATTTCTTGTAATGTATTTTTAGTGTTTGAATATTTTTTGAGCCGAACTCTAAAAACCTGATTCGGCCCCAGCGGGGCAGGCACAAAGTATGTGCTCTGCTGTTTCATCATTTTCCAGAGGCGACACATACTGCTTCCGACAGTCCGATTCTCTGCATATGATGATTCTAATGACAGTGACCTGTAGGAAGGCCTGTTAGACATCGTAGTTCATCCCTACTGTCGTCCAAAAACTGTTTGGTATCAAGCTTCGAAGGGTGAATAAACGCCTTGGAGTGAGCCAATCTTGAAAGATTCTGCCAGAAGTCCATACATCTTCTTGCTATCCAGGTGTTCAATTTTTGTTTGGCAAAGCCTAAAGCGATGCCAATGACAGGTTCTGGTCCGATGAAGCGGCTTACAGCACCCTCCTTTGCAAGGGAGTCAGCACACTCATTGCCTTTCAGGCCAGTATGGCCAGGAATCCAGACCATCGAGGAGAGTCGTTTTTGGCAATTTGCTACCAATTTAGACGTTGCTCGGTAGGAGCCAAGAACTTCCAACACCGCACCGCTTGACAGTCCGAGAATATTTTCATTGACTTGTATGAAGTTGGATTCTTCCAATCTCTCCGGACACAATTCGATAGCGTAAATTTCCTTGAAATACAGTCGCATAGGTTCCTAGGCAGGTTGAAATCTCTATCCTGCGACTGAAAACACCTGCACCAGATCCATCTGTGAACCAACATCTATCTGCTCTCAATATTTCCGTCTTCCGTAGGATCCAGTCTTCTCTAATTGGAAACAGTACTTCATAAGGCAGTTCGTAGTTGACAGTTGGAGACGTGAAGTCAGAGGTCATTTCCAGAAAGCTGTAACTTCCAGTGTCAACCAACAGTCTGTTGCACTCTGCATTAAATTGATTTGTGCAATTGGCAATGTGTACAATTCTATATGCAGTCCATCTAGCCTCTCTCTCCAGAAAAAATTGGCGAGGAGGTAGATCTACCACGTATTCACCCAGTGTTCTATTTATCACCCAGTTTTATTATTTATTATTTTATTTTCAAATACACAGTATCAGATAGTCTGGAGAGGAAAACGATGGTTTATAATTCATCCATAAATATGCTAGTCACAATTTCACAGCCTTGATAGCATTCAAGGTAATCATAGTGACACGATATTACAATATAATAATAACAATAGTTTATTCTCCTCTCCTTTTACCTTTTGATATTTATTTCCATAATCTGTCTCATATAATGTAGGAAAAAATACAAGATTGCACCTACCAATCAAATGGTTTTTTATTCAGCTGCAAATTGGAATGAACTGAAAAGAATGTTGTTAGATGATTTTAAAATCAACTTTATAAACATTTTGATGTACAACTGAAATGGGAATATTTCAGAAATAAAACATTTGAAATATCTTTTATTTGTACCTTCAATCTCAGCTCAGTTATGCCAATAAAAATACTAGTCATATACTTTTGTAAAATGCACTTTTTCGATTGTCCAAATTATTTAAACCACAGTCAGTTTCATTTTCTTTTTATTAAAAACTAACGACTTCTAATCCTTTCACAGAACGTTTCTATGAAGATCACGAGCTACTCGTGGACAATCTCCTTCTTTGGACTCGGGAATCCAAGAACAAGATATATTTTGTGGAAAGAGAAGACAAAATCAGATTGTTTCTCACTCCAGAAAAGTTTTTACCATCCGTCAATGATAAAAATCAAGACTTTGACGAACATGCCAGAAACATGCTTCTAGAGGAATATTTTTCTTCCACCAACCCACCCGAACTAGAAGGACCTCTCTACCTCAAAGCAGACTCGAAGAAGGGTTGGAAAAAATACCACTTCGTCCTCAGAGCTTCCGGTCTGTACTATTTCCCGAAGGACAAAGTGAAATCTGCCAAGGACTTGGTTTGTTTAGCCACTTTTGACAATAACCACATATATTATGGCTTGGGGTGGAAGAAAAAGTACAAAGCCCCAACAGACTTCTGTTTCGCGATCAAGCATCCTAGATTACAGGAACCCAAATCGACGAAATTCATCAAGTATTTGTGCGCCGAAGACCAGAAGACTCTGGAGAAATGGCTAGTCGGAATGAGAATCGCCAAGTTTGGAAAACAGCTGATGGACAACTACCGGAGTTTGATTGACGAGCTGGAGCGGGAGGATTTGGATATTCTAGCACATGCCAGGAGTTGTTCTGTCAGTTCGATTGCTGTACAGTCTTTTCCGTCCAATGTTACAACTCCGACGCAAGGGTACGTATCCTTTTTATTACTTTACTGTTTGGGGGAAACCAGATATTTCTAGTTTTCTAATTGGTTATATATACACAAACAAACTACAAACCCAGATTGCTAAAATGAAACATAAAAATATAAATATAGGAACCATCTGTAGAAGGTTTCACTTGGGTTCAGGAAATCAACTATAAAAGGTTTTACTTAGGAACCATATATTTTCTTTCTGAATGAATATCACTAGTATGAGAAATTTGAGCGGTTATAATTAATTGTATTTCATAATTTTTTATTTAGAAAGATTGTAAATATAATGAAGTTCGCCTCTTTAATTCACTTTTTGCCTTGCTATATAATAATATGCCACCATTACCAGATATTTTTTCTAAACCTCTCTAGTCACATTTTCAGAACCAATACATTTTTCATATTTCGAAAGAAAGGCAAAAATGTAAAATATGGTAAATATTTTTCGGTTCATTTTTTTTTTGTTAAATCATATTTGTTGACCTGAGCTTTCCATCTGTGTGAATTGTAATCTTTGATAGTCTTATCAGCCCCGAAACATTTTCAATTTGGACTGAAGATGATTTTGAACATGAATTGATAAAGAATATTTGTTCAGAAATTGGCAGATACTTTGTTTCAATATTTCACATCTCTTAGGATAGCATGTATCTTTACTCACGAGTACTTTCAATCTCAATTTTCAATTTTTCAGATATCAGAGCAGTGAAGGTGGTTATGGAACCCAGAGCGAAACTTATTCCACTTCTACTGATATGAGTTCAGGTCGCCATAGTAGAGCGAGCAGTTCAAGTTCTAGTGGATGTATGTCAGATGGAGCCCCTTCCAGCTGTGAAAATGCTTTTGATTCAGAATTTCCAATGGGTGAGTAATCCCAAGTTTTTGAAACATTTATGACTACGACAATATCTTTCTTGATCTGAATTCATTGGCAATGAACAATTTTCAAAGCCGCAACCAGGAATTCATTCCCGGGGAGGTAATAAGTACTAAGTGTTTGAAAATGAAATGATGTGAAACATTACTCACCTCTATAAAAAAAAATTCAGTTTGCGGAAAACTATCTCCACTAAAATAACTTTTTGTGATTATATCAGTGGATAGTTGAAGTCTTTTCTAAATGAGTGAGAGGGTTTGATAATACACCGCTTATTTATTTGATAAGCATTCAATGTTCTCTAAAATTTTCAGACACATAACAAAAAAGCCATACTAATGAAAATATATTTGTTCTGGCTGCGAATAGGTCAATTACTTCTTCCACAGAAACATCAATGTGTCTATGAATAACTTCCGAAGGCAGAAAACTCAGTCTTGTTTTCTCCAGTTGAGTTTCTCGAATAAGTTTTCAATCTTTAAAGCTATTGTATAGCTTTGTATATAATTTTCCTTTCCATACTTCCATTTGATTATCCATTATTTATCTTCGAGTCGAGTGTGTCCAAGTTCAGAATTTTTTGTACAAAGCGAAAGTATCATCAACATTGTATTCATTCTCCACTGAGGGAACCAATCTGCCAATATTTGACAAAATTAACCTATGGTCTCTAAATTTCACAATGCAAAATGATCTGTAAAATCACCTAGAAATTGTGTTGCATGTGCAAATATGTCTCTGGATTTCTTCTGTTTTGTTATTTAAAGGTTTCTGCAGACTTTTTACAATACATAATAATTTTCGACAGTGGTCAAAATCAAATCAACATGGTCTAAAGCTGATAATAGATCACAAAAAAGAAATTGAAAGATTCTACATAAATGTACAGTGTGTGAAAATGAAATCAGTATTATAAACTTATAAAAAATTGGGTGGAAGTGATTGACTGTGAGAAAGATTTTGCTTTCCAGAAGTATCTGAATTTGGATCATTAATTGTTCCACAGTTTATTTATAAATCTAGTTGAATCTCAATACGCCATCATAATTTTCCACTCTTCTTGTATCACACACGGAGACTAAAGTTTTCCATGTTGCTTCAGGATAATTTGATTCACTATTGTCTTTGAAAGTCTCAATCTTTTTGGTACGACTCTTGAGAAAATTTCCCCTTGAGTTGTAGAAAATTGCGTGAATGTCCTTTAGCTGAATTCTATAAATGGGAGCTGCAGCGTCTTCACGTCCATCTTGGAAACGCTTATATCACTCGTGAACTTTTGTTTGTTTTCCTCATAGCGGACTCACCATAGGCTTTTGTTTACATTTCACATACTCAAGTTATTTTTTATGCAAAATTTGATATACATTGATGTTTTGTTAAGTCTTCCGTTTTTGGTAGCCTTAGTGGCCGCCACAATGAACAATGGTTACAGCTGAAAATTTTATCATACTTCAGGGGCATGTATACCAACACTATCAAAAAATTCTGATGGTTAAACTCTCCAAACCCGTGAAATTCAAAAATACCTCGTGATTGACTCAGATCACGACAATAAAAATGGAATACTAAAATGAAGTCTCTCTATAAACATTTTTGAACGTTACTACAAAATGTTCTTCAATAGTTGAATTATGTCGAAAAGTTCGCCTGAATCTGGAATAATACTGTTATGTTGAACTAAATTTTATTTCTTCATCAGGAACGATCAAACGGAAACCCTCCATGAAACCCAGTCTTCCCTTAACCAACATCACTAGACAACTGAAAGAAGTAGGCGAAACCCGTGACGAAGTAGATGGCGTGGCTCTTCCCTCCAGCCCCGCTCTCTATACCAACTCGGGCACACTAACGAGATCGCACAACAGAAGGAAATCTGGACTTTCTCCAGACGACTCTTCAAATACTGGTACACTGAAAAGGCAACATTCCTACAAGTCGAGAGGGTCCATGGAATCGATGGGAGGAAGAAGTGGCAGTTCTACTCCATTGTGCGGAACTCCCATCAGGGATCGAGGGTCTCCTTTCGGAGAAAGACCTTTCGTGGAGTCTCCCACTGGTGGGTCTCTTAGGGGATCCTCCTCGCCTACAAATAATATGGACCTTCCATCTTGCATGGTGAGTGAAGATTATAAGTAGTGAAAAATTCTGTATTCATTTAACAGTCAATGGAAAGACACTGCCTTTGACAAATTTGAAGACAAGATTGTTGAACTTAACTTGCATAGCAATTTCATTTTGATTCAATCTTGATTCAGTCAAGTGGCACTATTACTTCTAGATATGTTTAATTGAAAATCTGCCTTGGATATCTTCATGAAAAAATACTTCAGAAATGTATCTTAAAAATTCAACCTAACATAAGAATTTTCATGAAAAAAAATTTAAATAATCTTAATTTCGAACATATAAATCACCAAAAATTTTTCATATGTTATCTTTCTGGTTGTTTTTGAAGATATTGAAGGTAAATTTGAAAACCACTGTTCTAAATATATGTCGTTGCTATAGATTATTTCTTCTGTTAACACCACCTTTTTTGACATGGTTCTGCCGATAGTTCTCATACATTTTTTTCTAATTATCCCCTTTTCTGTTTTAAGCACCGGAACTCTAACTTTTTGAAAGCACGAGAAGTTCTAAAAAATCATGTTGGAAAGCATGGTTTCCAGAATTTGTTGAAGCCACCTAACTAACTTTATTTTAACCTCCAACTGCATGTTAGTATTTACTTTATTGTTCCCGTGCTTATTGTGTTTTGATGATTCTAGATTTGGTGATAGTCTTGAAAATAATTATTAACAGAACAATAGTTCATTATTGGGTGTCAAGGAATGTTGAACAGAATGATTTGATGATTGAAACGTATTGCTTTTTTGTTAGGGATAATACATTTTCTTCATATTTATAATACGGTTTCTTTTTTTTTACAGACCGACTCTGTAACATCACTACCACCTCCTCCAGAAACAAATGGGGACGTTATTCTCAACAATTCACCCAACTACACCCTTCCACCCCCTCCTCCAGAAATATACAATTCTAACCTCTCTCTCGATAGTCTTCCTCCACCTCCCAACCCAAGCGATCTCCCTCCTATAACAGGCAGCGAACTGACTGGCAGTCAGTTATCCCTGATGTCTTTACCACCACCCCCAGGCGAAGTTGATACTGGTACAATTAGAAGGAGAAAAGGTAGCATAACGCCAGTTAATGTGCTGAGTCCGGAAAGAACTCCTACTCAAGGAATGTCGCCAGACTTAACTCCAACACATTCGAGACTGAATACCCCAGTGTGTAGCCCACCACTGTCGACAGCTGGAAGCGGGTGTAGTACACCAGTACAAGCTAATCCTCCTGCTGGTTTCAGCCCAGCTCATAGGGGTAGCTATAGTCAAAACAGCCCAAGTTACCCAACTCAAGAAATGCCACCTTACGTTAATCCTCCTCAGTATAGGCAGTCCAACACCCTTCCAAGCAACCCAGCTTTCAACAATAACATGGGTTTAAGATCTTCTCTCAGGCAAACTTCTTTACCAAGACAAATTTCTTCGAATAGCATTGCATCTACAAATAGTTCCGGTTCTTCTGGAAACAGTGCTTATACCATGCAAAACTCCCCCAGCTTACAAAGGAAAGTTAACTTCCAGGAACCTCTAAGTCCAAAGAAGTCTGGCAAGAAAATTAGTTTTATTCTTCCACCTCAAGAGTTACCTCCCCTACCTAAGAAGCCTCCTCCCCCAAAACGATCCGAGTCCACGAAGCTTACAAGCCCAAAGAAGCTGGCCGAGCCACCTATGACTTTTCTCAAAGACTTGCAGAGGGTAATGAGGAAAAAGTGGCAGGTAAGAACTTGCTTCTAGTTTTGATACCGACTAATGTGTCAAGTGAGGGTTCTGATTTACCAGATCTTTTTTTTAATGATATATACATATACATATATCATGTAATTTAACCTTATTTTGATTTTAGGTTGCAGAAAAGTGTAAACTCGAACCAGAAACGACTCCTCACGAGGTTCTTGGTTTCCGCGATCCTCCACCTCTTCTTCCCGACTACAAAGAACATAACGTCTCGAACTGGGTACAGGAGCACTATGGCCCCAACAATCTCTACGAAAACATCTACAGGGACAGCATAGATGGCTCTGTAGTGGAATATGCCACAAGTCCAGTTCACTCAAGGTCAGGAGACTGCAAATCCACTCCCAAACGACCTCCGCCCCCTCCCCCCAAGCGGAGCGAAACGACGCACTTAAGTACCCCAAAGACTCAGTGATGCTGTGTGTGTTAGTATAGATCATGGAAAATAATCTCAAATTTGGCATATCAGATCAGTGTCGCTTCGTTGTATGTTATAATTGTCCGTGATATTCAAGGTTAGTGTGAAAGATAGTCAGGTTCAGAAGGGCTGTGAAAAGTCTTAAGCAACACGTAACCCTTCATCCAACAAAGTGAATCAATCGTGAAGTACCGAGCTTTGTTACGTATGCAGGACCGCTCACAAGTATCCCAAAGACTCTTAATTGGGAGGGTTATGTAACAAATACTAGGTATTTTTCAGAATAAACTTCAACAAGAAATGTAAAAATTATAATTTTTGGTGAAATGAATGGGTTCATTCCAGTGTATCCAGTTTAATTCGCTAAAATATGTGCGATACCACAATTTTCGAAATTTTGTTAAACAATTGACTTGAGTGTATAATAATTTGATTAAATACCATAATTTTCTAAACTTGGAGAACGGGATTGCATACATTTTCATTGATTGTGGGAAATATTCAATTATTTTCGTCAATGACTAAAAACAATGAAAAAATTAACCTAGGCAGCTTTTACAGAACTTACAGAGATCATGTTTCTCAATGCAAAGAAATGATGAAACAGTTGAAGGAATGCTGGTGTTTACCAAGTTTCACAGCGATTCAAAGCACTAGACCTATTTAACAAGCTACTAGACCTATTTAATCGATATACCATGATTCATTGTACTAGACCTTTTTTACCAATTGAAATTAACATACATTGGAGAAAATTTTGGACTTTGAAATGATATTTTTTGGGTTTATATTATCGTTTCCTTTTTCACGAAATAACACCAACATATATCCATCTTACACCAAACTGAATTAATAAAAATGCTTGCCATCTTATAATTTTGACAATTTTGCTCCTGAGCAAATACTTTGTTGAATAAAAATCTGAAATAAATCTGAAATAAAATTCCTGAAATTTGGATTATGAAACTTGAGTTTTCTGAGTTTCCTTAATTATTATACACTCGAGTTATTTGCTTAGCAACATTTTGAAATTCATGGATTTGCAGATTTCAACCCAGGACTATAACCCATGATAATGACACAACTGGGCAGATTTTATGCCAAATAAAAATGTTCTGAACTCCAAAGTCTTTCTGAGCCTGTCATTAATATTTTTTAATAACCCACTATTATATCTGCAGGAAATGAGACTAAGCTAAGCATATAATGATCAAGCAAGCCGCCTGCAGTTTGCATCGCAAATATTTTCAATAATCTTACAAGCAATTTTCATTACAATGATGATCACAACTCACAGTATTCAACGATGCTATAACCAAAGCATAATATAAAACTTGTTGCCAATGTATGTAACCATTCCTGAAATTTGAGTTTATTTTTCAAGTTTGTATGTCCTACTATACTGCCAGCAAAAAGTCTGCACTGGGATGTGATTTTAAATTAATTGTGCCATTTATTGAGTGATTTTAAGAACTCCTTACTTAGTTTTAATCTTAGATGTGGAAATTATGAAAAAAATTTCTGTACATAATTAAAATTGGTAGTTAAATTATTTATGGATGAAAAATGTCAAACATTAATGGTGCTTACAATGTTTACTGAGTAGTAGTAACTTGGGATAAAATAATGTTATTTATTTTTATTTTCGGATATAAACGAGTTGATTTAAAAATTTTTGAAGAAATTAATACTAGGTACTGAATGAAACTTTTATTTTATTACTGGTTCCTAACCTAAAATTACAATTATTTTATTACAATTATTTTGTTGCTTGCAACTTTATTTAATTCAGTGAAAACATTATTGAGCAATGTGGGCTAGTTTTTGTTTTATATTTGAAAATTTTTAGGATATAATATTTCAGAATGGTATTTTCTAATTCTCATGTCCTTCAAGGGATGAGGTAGTTTGTAAAACGTTTGTTCAACAGAAGGTGACTGGGAATACTTTTCTTTCATTTGAATGATGATAAAAAATGCACTCTGTTGAATGATATAAATTTGAGTAGTATTGGAAAAAAATAGGATCGAAGTAAAAATGAAAACAGGAAGACTGAGAGTTAATTTCAACTTAAATGGAGTAAGCATAAAAACGGAGTAAACAAAAAATTAGTCACAATTAAAAAAAAGAAGTAATTTGTGAAAATCCAGATGGAAAATTGACTTTAATTCATGGTTTATTTCAAATGATAAATTTACTATTTGATATTGACAGAGAGAGTGGTAAACCCTGCTTGTATGCAAAATGCTTAATAGAAACTTTTATCACTCTTTGTCAGTATCGAACAGATTGTAGGTAGTGTAATAAAAGAAATGAAACCACAGTTGAATGATTCATCATCAATTTGCTTTTATTTATCCGAAGTTCTTACCTACTCTGTGAGCTCTAGTTAAAAATTTCAACAGATGTAGCGGAATTTGTGTGTTTTATAAATTTTATAACAAACTTTACCCAAATTAGTTTGAAATATTTATACAATGATTATGAAGTTACAGGGTTGAAAAAGTCAGTTATTTATTTTTCTTTGTTTAAATAATCTTTTTTTCCTTTTGTATTTGATACTTATGTATATAGATAGTTTAAAGTTCCATGCCGTTTTCACGATGCAACGGCGGATTATTTCGTGTAATTATACTGTAATAATTATCCGTTTTTATATAATCTTTATTGATCTCTACAATGCCATTATCATATATTTTTTGTATGTTTTGTACTAATAATGCTATATTACAAAATGTAGTTTTAGTAGTCCTACATGTAGACAAGTATAGGTATATTTGAATTGAATTTATATGAAGAACAACAATCAGTTTTTGTGTGCAATTTCATTGGTCTACATTACTTGTCTTTTAGCACAAAAAAGAGGTAGAAGGGCGTTGTAGACATTCTAGAGTTTTCTACTTTAATAGTATCTTTATTGTTTTTACTGTTTTTAATGAACACTTTGTATACCATCTACTGTTTATATAATTTATATACATATGTATGGATATCAAAAAACATGCATACGTATATGTTTATTTGGGTGGGATCAAATGATAAATGACTCAATTTTAAAATTTGTCATCACCCAGATTAAAAATATTTACCAAATATTGTGTTTCATTTCCTAATCCTATTACCTTGCCAAGCTGATTAAAATTCAGTGTCGAGTGGATACGAAGTATCTTCAAAAATAAGGATTTTAAATTTCATGCGTTTTGAGAGTATTACACTATGTATTACACTATGTTAGTAATATGTAAGTATGATAGTTTTCAGCTGTTCATTGTTTGCCGGCAGCTGCTAAGGTCAGAATCATAATCAGTTATTCATCACAAAAGAATACACATTGTGTTGTGAAAACTACAGAATATGTAACTTATCTGACTAGTCAAAAAAAATATATTTTCATATAAAATAGATTAATTGAAATTGATAAAATATAGCCAATACAATATTTAGTTTTATACATATAAAAAAGGGGATNTTAAGGTTCAATTCTTGATCTGATACCACTCCCAGATATTTAAATGTTGTTACTTTTTCAATGATGACATTATCAATATAAAGATTCAACGACAGCTGTTCATCTTACAGTTGTCTTCAGCTGTTCATCTTGCAGTTGTCTTAAACGATATTTGCTTTCTATTAACATGCTACCCCTTTATCACTGAGATATGTTGATATTTTACTCTTAAATGCTGACTTGCTACCAATCATATCTATTACATTTTTCATCTTATTGAAACATTTCACACCTACATATTTTGCGGAATTTTTACCAACGAGAATCCTGGAAAAGGGAAGATGAATATTTTCCTTATTCCTTGTATCATATGAATGTATTTGGTCATTCTTCAGAAATTTTTTTTCATTGTTCTTTATGTATGAGAGACAGGGTAGCGTCAGTATTTTAGAATTTCGGAATAGTGGCTTACAAGATTCTGAAGGCTAAGTTTTATTCATAGCTGTGAACGAAAAGCTCCTAGTATGTGAGTTGAGGATCCCCAAAATATTATCCCATATTGCAAAGCTGACTGTTCCAATCTGTAATAAAGAATTCTCAGTACTTCAGCTGCTCCCGCCTCAGATTCCTAATAATGTATGTGATTGTGCTGAGTTCTGAACATAAAGTGGTGATATAGTTTTCCCATGAAAGTTTCCTATCAAGCACAACACCTAAGAACTTCATATTGTCTTTGCTTTCTATCGATTTTCCATTGTTAAGTAGATATCATTATTAGGATTCATATTTTTTGGTAAGAATCGAATATGATAGGTCTTAGCAGTGTTTAGTGCTAGTCCATTTTTATTACTAGGTAAGATGTATTTTCAAGAGTTCGGCGATTTTTGTTTGTAAAACAAATGATTCAAGTGAAACAAGAGTAAACGTGTTGTAATAGCGTTTCCAAGATGAACACTTTGAAGACGACGAATGCCCCAGCACATCAATAACCTATGAAACCGTGGAAGAATTAAAAAAATTGTTATGCCGCCTGGATTTGTGGGAAAACAAATCAGGTCTTTGCAACACGGTAATGCACCTGCTAACACTTTTTTGATAAAAATCAATACTGTTACAATGCTCCAGCCTCCGTATTTGCCAAACATGGCTCCATGCAACTTTTTGCCATTTCCAAAAATGAAGACAACTTCAAAGGCTGTCTGCTTACGAGCAAAGATGACAATTTTCATTCTACCACTTGGGGCCATCTGATTTGTTCTGCATATGGCTCCTTGTGTTTTCCTCCATCTTTTTCATGACTCTCATTCCAACAATTTTGCTCCCGCCACTGATTTATACAGATCCCTTGTTGAATGACTGTCAAATTCTCCTGGACATAATTTGGACTGTCCATTCATGAATGTTCAAATTTTGCATGTTGATTTTGCATCAAATTGTGTGTAAAAAAATGGACATAAGTGCTCAAAAACACTTAAAATATTGACAGTGGCATACGGTGATTGTACTCTGAGTCAGGAAAATGTTTACAAGCGGTACAAGCTTTTCACAGAAGGTCGAGAAGACGTAAATGACGACGGTCGTTCTGGACGCCCCAGCACATCAACAACCGATGAGATTGTTGAGAAACGTTGAATCACATGATGTATCGTCCCAATGGAAGAGCCCAGGAGAGCCAAGACCAAAAAAAGCACGCCAAATTCCATCAAATGTCAAGGGTTTTGCTCACGGTTTTTTTCGATTACCGTGGCGTCGTGCATCAGGAGTCCTTGTCACATGGTTATACCGTCAATAAGGAGTATTATCTGGAAGTTGCGCTGCTTGCGAGAAGCAGTATGAAAAAGACGTTCAAAAAACAATTCATGGCTTTTGCATCACCATAACGAACCTGCTAACTCGTCATTACTTTTGCCTCAGCCACCGTACTCACCAGATTTGGTCCCCTGCGACTTTTTCCTTTTCCCAAGATTGAAGAGACCCATGAAAGGATGGCTTTCAACGACGATTGAGAAGATGAAAACCGAATCGCTGAGAGAGTTCAAAGACATACCAAATAGTCCACAAATCAGAACTACTTCGAGGATTGAAAAAAACGCTGGCACAAGGGTATTGCCTCTGAGGGGGCCTTATTTTTCCGAACAAGAAGCATACATTTTTGGCCTTCTGTGATCCAGTGCTTCTTACTGGATCACACTGCATTGCTTTTGGTTAAGGTTTCTGTTGTACAACTTTATTTCGTTTAGGTGTCCTCTCAGTGGACAGTGTCCAGTACTCTCTGTTTTTTCTAGACCCACTTTCTAATCTGGTTTCGTACCACAGACTTTGGTTCCCCCACAACTGGTTCAAGGACTGTATATGGAGTTTAAGACACTTTTCTGGCACACTCATCAGCTTTTTTATTGCCACAGACGACTTCAAAGGCGCATTGATAAAAGCTGAGATGTGAAGGCTATCCCAAAGATAAAGTTGAAGAAGTGTTTTCAGAATGGTAAGAAGCCCTGGCACAAGTGCGTGAAATCAAATGGAGATTATTTTGAAGGCGACAATATGTAGACGAATAATCAAATATTTTTTCAATAAAACAAAGTTCACGTTAATTTCAGAACATACCTCATACGAAAGTTATTACCAATTTCACACTAATCTCATTTCAATGATTGTCATGATTGCAAGTTCCTCGGATAACTTCTATTCAAAATGAACAATATATTGAGATAATTCTACTGACTGTGAACAAAATGATTCATGGGTACAGAGTAGGTACTTCATAAGCTATTCTTTGAGACAATGTATTGAATCTTGTCCCGATCTCCATCTACGGGGTAATTCTGTCATTTAAATATTTCATTGCGTGATTCTATTGATAGTATAGAGAAATAAAGTCATGAATCCATATCCTAAAGGATTCATTACATAACAGAGAACTTTTGAAAGTTTCTTGAATGTTTTCACATGCCTCTTATATTTTTGAAATTATCAAGTTCAAACTTGACTCGCTATGAAACAGTTTTCAAAAAGTTTCGCTTGATAATAGTAATATTCATTCCAGTCACACTATCTAAAAATGACATTGAATAAGTCAGATAAAAGTATGTGTGTCATAGTTATAGAATACGAATTGATTTGAAGGAGTTATAAATCACACGTTAAAAGGTAAGACCTCGTTAGTCCATAGCTCGCACAAGTTTCTCAACTTCTGAGAGTTGTCGTTCGAATAGGGGCGACAGCTGAACAGATTTTAAACAGACAGACAGAGAGATATTTTCAGGAGGGATCAATTTTTGAAATATGTTTTGGCTTACTACTTCTTCATCTATATACAAAAAATGTGGGAAACTTCCAAATAAAGGAAGAAAGCAAACAATTTCAAGATTAACTATTCACAATGATGTGTTGATCATGCAAATAAGTTACCTCTCGTAATGTATGAATGAGTTGAGTGCTTTATCTTGTAATGGTATTCAGATCGGTGCTGAAGAGGTAATAAGACGAGATTATCATTGTGAATCATCGATGTTCCAAGTGAAATTTTACCCCTTTCGTATACTATATTGTGTATGTAGCACTCCTGTGAATGATATCTGATTCAATTCTATATCGATTGTTCAGAGTACAAACTGAATGGGTAGTTGCCTATCCTTATACTTTGCAGCACCGCGTTGACGAACCCAATAGCCAGAAACACGTGCCCGCGGTTTTGCCCCATTTTTGAATGTTTTTGATTCATATCAAATACACTCGTTAACATAAGTCTCCCAACTGAAACCACAAATGTATGGTTGGCTCCTGTTGGTGACTTCGTGCATATGTGTAGTTTTTGGCAAACAAGTGTTGCCCATCCTTACCCTTTGGCCGCACGGCGCTGATATTTTTGAGTGATCACATCAAATACATCAAATGAACTGCCTTACTCAAGCCTGTTAACGTTTTCAGAAAGTTTATTCCACATAAACGCAGTTCTCCAAAAGGAAGTGTTCAAGTGCCAAGTCACTTGAACAAGTGTCAAGTCACTTGAACACCTCATGTGAAAGTATCTATTGAAGAGAGACTTTCAAGGTTGCAAGTGATGTTAGCGTCTCCAATCATGCGGATGGCTCTTTTCTGAATGGATTACAGCAGCTTCAGGGCATGCTTAGGGGCGGAGATCCATACATGAGAACCATACTCTAAAGAAGGTCTGATCTGAGCTTTATAAAGCATCAAAAGTTACTGAGGTGTGTACAGTTTTCTGCTTCGGAACCGTTTTGCAATTCCAGCCACATGATTGTGCCAAAACATACCTATCGGTATCCGTTTTAATCCCCAACAAACTTATCGAAGCAGAAAGCTGAATTGTCTGTCCTGACATTGTTATATCCNACCCCAATTCAAAATCACTTCTAGATCCTCATTAAGATATGCAACCTCCAGCTTGATGTGACCTGTTCTCTCAAATCTTTGCTCTTATATATTTTTCAATCAGGTGCTTATGCTTCACTCATCTCCAACCCGTCGAATAAGTTAAAAACTATTTATTGATTGTAATGTCCTGGTGTAATGTCCATTTCATGGAAAACTGGACGCACACTTGAATCATAATCTTAAGAAAGTGTTTTACCTGCTATTTAACGAAATGCAGTTTAATGAAACAAATAACAAAAAATCAAAT